ACACTTCCCAGCTGGGGGCAGAGTAAGAAGAGGTTTCAGGGAACACAACACAGCCCAGCTCACTCACATCAGCAGCTGCAGCTGCAGCATGGGCAGCATCTGACGCTCTTTGGTTCGCCTCTTGTGGAAGATGTTGTTGTCCTCCTCCATGGCAGAGTGTCTGTCTGTCGTGCAGGGCACATCCACCAGCACCTGCAGCAGCAGAGGTCCCACCTCAGCCCCCTGCACAGGTCAAGCTCAGCGAGTCCCCTCCTGCAGCCAGCCCCGTGCCCACCCCCTCCACCCCTGCCAACTGCTCTCAGTGCCCACACACAGATGGTCACCACACTGAACTGTAATCATCTGGCTGCTCTGGCATTTTTGGAACGTGCAAAAATGGAGGAGAACATCCTGCACTAACTCATGTCCTCATTTAATGTCCCTGCTCTGTGTGTGTCCCTGGCAATGCCCCTGCAGCACACACGGGCATTGCTGCTGCAGCCTTCCAGAGTATCCAGCCCCTGGAACACCAAACCCAGCCCCTGTGGCTGGACATGGCTGAGAAGCCAGAATTATCCAATCTTCACATTTAACCCCTTCCAGGTGATGGACAGGAACAGGATTTCTAAAGGGTGTTACACAGGCAAGTACAGGTACAACTCTAGATGCACATATGCACCAGATCCTGCAGGAAGGGGTAGCAGGAGGAAATATTACTCCTTGTATGGCTTGGTCTTCTCTCTCTTCATTTATGATTACAGAAAACCACACAGTTATATGGAAGGATAAGCTTCTGTCTTCCTCAAAAAGAGGAGAGAAGTGAACTTGATGGGTTTATCTTCACTGGTTCCCAACACATACCTTATGGAAAGTGCCTCCTTTCACCTGGTCCCAGTCCCTTCCATCATAGGACGTGACACTCACAGTATCCCTGACTTCTTTGGGGACATAGCTATGGAGAATCTGGTACAGCCTCTTCGTCCGGGAAACGGAGATGTCGTTGGCTGCCAGATGGCCTGACAGGACAGAACAGGCACACTGGGAATGTCACTTCTGCAGAAACACACCTGATTCCCAGCTCTTCCACACAGAAATCATTAATGGTCAGGCATGAATGGGTGCAGTACACTGCTCCAGCCCTGTTTTACACTTGGGAACAAGGGAACACCCATCCCCACTCACCACAAAACCCAGTCTGCAGCAGAGCCAGAGTTTTCCCACCCGGAGCCGCACAGAGGTCGAGGACAAAGTCATCTGGCTGCACGTTGAGTGCCAGCACAGGCAGGAGAGATGCTGCATCCATGAGGTAATAGTCGAGGAGCCCCAGAGCATCCGGCCTGGAAATCATCAGTGTGCATAACAAAATCAAATATTGGAGGGGAAAAGAAAATAAAGGAGCAGTTGGAAGTGAGGATAGGGACACATGGAAGCAACCCCTGAGGCTGGCAAAGACCAAGGCGGTCTGCCAGGGATGTCTCACCGTGCAGGGCGAAAGCGCGTGATGTCACCCCTGGGGAAGGTGTAACACTTGATTTTGGAGCTGATGGAGGCGCTAAGTGGTGGGGACATCTCTGCCTGTGTCCCCATTTCTGCCTGCATCACAGTCCTGCCCTCACCGGAGCCCTCCTGGCACCCTGGGGCCGCTTCCCTCACAGCTGCGCCCCGCTGCCATTGCTGCGCCTTCTGGGGGGCCTCAGAAACGAAATCGGTGGCGTTGAGCAGCTCCAGCTCTTCGGGAACGTGGTCAGCAGCAGCAAAGTTGTTGAGGAGGGCCCCGTATTTCTGCTCGCAGAGCAGGCCAGCACGGACCGAGGGCCACAGGGCCCCCAGGTGCAGGCCGTAGCTCGTGTCGAAGTGGTGCAGCGCCAGCCGCGTGGGCGGGATGCGCGGGGCCGTGGCAGCCTGGGGGGGAAAAACAACAGAAGTGTTAAAAGACAATATACCACAATACCCCCAAACCCAGCCTCCCCACCCAGCCTTCATGTTCTTCTGGGAGAATCCAGCACTGGGACTGTGCTGCCAGAAGTCCATGAGGCCTTTCCGGAGTGTGACAGGACCAGAGGGAATGGCAGCAAGCAGTGACAGGGGGACTTCTGCTGTATGACAGGAAAAGCTTTTCACCCATGGGCTGCTTGGGCACTGAAGGAGGCTGCCCAGGGAAGGGGTCCCAGCACCAAGCCTGAGTTCAAGAGGATGCGGACAACGCTCTCAGGCACAGGGCGGGACTGTCGGGAGTGTCCTGTGCACGGCCAGGATCCTGGTGCATCCCTTCCAATTCAGCACATTCAGCGATTCCAGGACTCTGCGAATGGCCGAAATGTGGCTGGGGGCCGGGGTGGACACGGCTGCACACAGAGCGGCGGCAGGAGGGTGCAGCGAGAGCTGAAATGGGGGGACGAGAAGAGGAAAGGGGGGACGAGAAGAGGCAATGGGGGGACGAGAAGGGGATTTGCACCGGGGCGCAATAGGGTTAGCGGGGACAACAGCGGGGCGCAAGCAGCGCCGCGGGCTGCGGTGCTCTGGTCCCGCCCCGGCCCAGCTCACCCATTTCTCCTTGTGCCGGTGCCGGCGCGGCCCCGCTCCCGGTGCCGGCCCCGCTCCCGGTGCCGGTGCCCGGCGCAGCAGCCCGGCCGCCGCCCGCCCGCGCCCGCCCAGCGCCGCCATCGCCGCTCGCCTTCCGGGGCGGGACCGGGCAGCGCTCGGGGCGCGGCTGCGAAGGGCTGCGGGCAGCGGGGCTCGGGAACGGGGCCGAGCTCAATGGTATCCAAGGTGCCTTCCAACCTAAACGTGCGGCCATCACTGAGCTAGGTTTGGGCATCAGCTCCTGAGAAGGATCCGGCGACAAACGCGCTTTGCACAGGCACAGCTATGCCCTGCCCTGTGCCACAGGGGGAAAAAAAAAAAAACAAAAACACCCAACCAACAAACCAACCAACCAACCACCAACCAACCCAAAAAAACCTACTGGAATTTACATGATACACTTAACCTAATAAAGTCTGAAATCCGTCAGCAAAAGGACCATGAACCACTATATGGATAAAGAACTGTGATTTATAAGGTGGTGACTTTCATTTCACTTTGAATAGCTGTGAAATCCCCTGGTTTTCCTCCTACCAAACATTCTCTCTGGCGAAAGGAGCAGGCAGAGCACGGACAGGACAGTCCCAGGGTGAGCAGAAGGGCTGGTAACTCAGCCAGAAAGGGTTTAGCTCCCCCAGGGTGACCCTGACCGGGGCTTGAGTAGGTGAAGCACCCCCATGCACCTCCACAGCCACGTGCTTGGTTTCGTGGGCTAGAAGGCAGAGCTGGCTGCTGCCAGGAGGCTCTTCCAGCCGCTGGCAGAAGCGTGAGACAGTGAGGGACAGCCGACAGCTTTCCCCTGAGGCTGGGGACAAACTTCTCTCTCCTAGGAAAGGGTCACTCCCTTCAGTCTAACTTGGACAGAACATACTGTGTGAACAACGCTGGTCTTGAGGGGCTTAGGAATAATCTTTGTGGTTCCAACAGACAAATTCTTCCCCAGGGGATTGGGCTGCAGCAGCTGTCCATCATGGCAGCAAAAAAACGACATTCCCTCAAGTGAGGAAAACTCTCCTGCCCTTAACTGGACTCTGACACCCACTGATTTCATCTTAACCCAGTACAAAAAGCATGAGAATAGGAAACAAACACAGAGCACTTCCACAGGAACTCTCAAGGTTTAATATGGAAAATTACAGAACATCAACACGTTGTTTTTGTTTTTGTTTTTTTTTTTGCACAGCTGCACATCTTCCAGGAGCACAGAGGCAGTGACAGGCTGCCAGGAAGCCGTTTCGTTCATGCTCAGCACGGAGGATGGACTGCAGGAAGCTGAACTGTGACCCAGGAACCGCTGGCACTGGCTGTGGAAGCAGATGGGACAACCATGCCCCCCTTCACTTCAGCTTACTGAAAAGCTTGTGAGCAACCTGGAAAGAAAGAGAGCCTTCAATAACTCATAACTTAAGAGATGGAAATCAGCAAAGGTGCTGCCTATTGGTGTTCTGGGCCAACAATGCACACAGCTCCACAGCCCTGGCTTTTGTTCTGCAAAAAGTCATTCAGTAAAGCTATTGAGATGCCTTACAAAGCTTCAGCTCAGGTTCAAAAGCTTTAACTTTAAAATGGCAAGTACAAGACACAAACAGCTAAGTGCCATTTGCAGGGTACGAACACTGGGTTTAAGTTATTAAATTATTTAGTAATGTACCGAATCCCAGCTAGATCAGTTGTAACAAGGAGGAATCAAACATTAAACAAGAAAGCGGGACTGAAGGCAGCTCTGCTCAGAGCCGCACTTACGCAGTGGTCCCTGGCGTGCAGGAAGTCGAAGAGCTCCTCAGTGCACTGCTCCTCAGTCTCGGAGCGGGAGGACACCCGCTCGTTGCACAGCTCCAGCCGCTCCCGCGCCTTCACGCATTTCTCTATCTGCTCGCACTGCTCCCGCAGCGTGGTCAGGGGGTCCTGCGGACACGGGGCTGCGGTGAGCACAGGCACAGCCCCGCACGCCGCTGCCCCCGAGCCCCTTCAAGAGAGCCCCGCATGCCCTCCGCAGCCCGGCCTCCCCACGGCGCTCCGGGTGGCGGGCACGGCGCGGCCCCGCCCGAGCCCCCCGGGCCTGTTCGCTGACGGCCCCGGGCAGCCGCCGCTGGCAGCTGCGAGTCCCCGCCGCGGCTCCCCGTCTTACCACGAGCTCTTCCTCTTCCTCCTGCGGAAAGACAAGAGAGCACAGCGTCAGGGCCCGCCGGCCGGCCCGGGGGTGCCGTGCGGGCCCCGCGCCGCCCCGCGCTCACCTCGGGCTCGCCGCGCTGCCCCATCGCGCTCCCGCCGCACAGAAGGACTCGCCAGGGTCACCCGCCGGAAGCGCCGCTCCCGCGCCGGAAGCGGAAGCGCTCCCTCCGCAGGGCGGTGCTTCGGTCCGCGGCGCGGCCCTTCCAAACATGGCAGCCGGCAGCGGCCGCAAGTGTGGCCGCGCCAAAACGGCCACAGCTGCGCTCCCGCGTTTCCTTTCCCCTTTTCCTACGTGTCTCGGCCCCGGAGCCGGCGCGATCGGGCTGCTACCGCCGCTCTGTCTGCCCCGCTGCTCGGTCCGACCTCCCCAACATGGCCGCCCGCTGTAGCCGCTCCCCAATATGGCGGCGCGGGGCGGGCGGTCGGTGCCCGAAGCGGTGATGGCGGCCGAGCGGCCGCGCAGCCTGTTCGCGCTGAGCGCGGCCGCCGTGAGCCGCAGCATGGCCGCCCTGGAGCGGGACGTCTGGGGTAAGGCGCGGGCGGCGCGGGGCGGCGGGGCGCGGGGTCCGGGCCCGCCCGCACCCTGCCGCCTTCTCCTTCTGGCTCTCCGCAGCGCTGCCCGGGCACCTCCTGCGGGGGCTCCTGCCTCTCCTCACCATCTTCCATCTCGAGCGGGCCGAGGACGCCGCGCGGAGAGCAGGTGACACCGGCGATCCCGTGGGGACAGCCCCCGGCGGGAGGGACGGGCCCCTGAAACTGCTGGGGTGAGAGAGTGGCGGGATGGGCCCGCAGCGCAGGGACCCTCGGCGGGAGAGGGGAGCCCCGACCCACGGGGTCCCAGGGACACCGCGCTCTACCCCACACCCGGGCGGGCTCGGGCTGGGCCCCGGCATCCTGTCGAGCTCCGGAGCAGGACACTGGGAGAGGGGTGAAAGCGCCCGGTTGATGATTCTTCCCCCCAGGCCTCTCGACACAGCCCATCTGGCGCAAGCTGTGGGACGATGTGATGAAAACCAGGCCGCCCAACTCGGAGGTGAGGAAACGCTCTGGTGGGAGAAGGGGCTCGACACAGGAACTCTGTTTCTGCTGTTTTCCATGAGGTTTTCTTTCTGGCTGCCTCCAGTCAATTCCTGGCACGTGTTTATAAGCATTCGTAGAGCTCCGGACCAAGGCATCACCCTGGTGATACAAACATTTTGGGAAATGGGATTTATAAAGGAAGCATAGTGCACAGCCACACCCTTCATTTCCCAACACTGAGTTTGGCAAAAGAGCAAATCTTTGTCTTTAGAGATTCTCACTGAAACAGAGGCCAAAAACAGTATCTTCTATGTTTACACCTACACTAGCAAAAAAAAAAAAAAAAAAGCTGATGTTTTAGAAAGCATGAGAAAAATAGAGAAGACTGTGAGTTGGAAGAATAGTTTTATGTAGAAAAACTGAAGCAGCTTCATTGCTTCATCATCTTATAAGAATCATTAACTTAATGACAGTCAGTAAATAGATGCTGGAAGAAAATTGCTGGTGACGTGGTTTTTAATAGGCAAAAAAAAAATGGTCCAGCTCCAAACCACTGAGTGTTTAAATTAGGCCAGGAGGATGAAGAGAGCAATAGGATTCACTCAGGTTTTCAAGGAATAACTGAGGAAGGATGCTGAGAACTAGAGAAGTGGTCTCAGTGGAGCTAGCAGGAAGGGGTTTTTTTGGACACCAGGGTAGCAGACAGCAATAATTTAACATATAAAGAACAAGAAAAATGAATGCTGATTTTTTGTTCCTACTCTGTTGCTCAATTGCAGAGCATAACATGTTGGAGGAAGAAGTTCCTTGAAACATTCTTCTCCAATGTCCTCCATGGTGTCTTGGACGTGTCCTCTGACTGGCGCCTCCATGACCGTCACTTTTCGCCGCTGCTGCACAGCTCCCCGCACGTTTCCCAGCTCACCCTCTGCAACATGCTCCAGGGGGCCGTGGAGCTCACTGCTGAGCACAACCACAAAGTGCTGGAAAACCTGGCTGGCTCCCTGCGGGTCCTGAAGTTCCAGCACCTCCTCTCCTGTGACCAGTCCATCAGGCGCTCGCTGGTTTTGCTCCTTCACCGGCTGATCCACCACGGCTCTGTCAGCCAGGTGTCCATGTGCTCCTGGCCTGTTCCCGACACGGTTCTTCTCGTTCTCATCCTGACCATGAGTGCTGGGTTTTGGCGCTCAGGAAATGCCTTCACCTATCACGGCAGCCCGTGTGGCCTTTGCAGAGAGGAGGACAAAGCCCAAAGCCAAGAGTCAGCACAGGGGGGAGCAGAGAGGGGCTGTAATACTGAGCCGGAGGGGAGCAGTGCTGAGAACCAGAGGAGATCCCCAAAAGAGGCTGATGCTTGCATGGCCTCTGTCCTCTCTGGCCCCAGAAGTCCTCCCCTGCAAAACCCAGCACGTGAAGAGACAAGCAGCGAGGTGCCCTGTGGCCACACCAGCATTCAGGGGGATTCTTCCCCTCGTTCTAGCTCAGAGCAGCTGTCCTGTCACCCCATTCCTCGAAAGACACGCAGATGGCAGAAACCTGCAGTGGGGAGGAAACGTCGCTGTCTCAGACGGAGCAGGGGACACTATGCTGACCCAGAAGATCTCTATGATTTTGTTTTTACTGTTGCTAGAGAGGATAATTCAGGGTTACTGGAAAAAACCAGGACCACAGAGGGAGAGAGCACTGAGAACTGGACTAGTTCCTCCCCGGGATCTCCATGCACTGGCCATGCTGGCTGTAAGAAAAGAGGAGGACCTGCTGGAACCCTTTCTCTGAAAGCTGCTCACCGCTTCCGAAGTGTCTCCACACTGGAATTGTTCTCCATTCCTTTGACTGGGGAGACGTGTCGGACTCTGAGTAACCTGCTGAGCTCCTGGGTGTCTTTAGAAAACCTGGTTCTGTCCTACAATGGTCAGTGATGTGAATGGGACACTTCCTTCTAGCCCTGGCTTACTGCTCGGGTTCACCCTGCGTTAGTTTTCACAGGAAGGGGCATTGTAGGAGTATTGGTGCCCCATCTTGAGAAAGGTGTTGGGTGAGATGTTTAAGGAGTGTGAGGATTTAAGGGAGAGAATGGGATCCGTCTGTCCCAGAGCAGCCCCTGGCTTTGTGCTTAAACGTTCTTCAGAGAGAGCAAAGGGAAGAGGCAGATGTGCATCTCCCCTGCACAGAGTGTAGCTTAAAGATGCATGGATAAAGCGGTCTGTGAGTTTAGCCTTTGGCTTGGGCTGCTGTTGCTGCAGCTCCAGCTCTGTGTGTCAGTGCCTGCACACACAGCTGACACTTTTCTGTACAAATGCTGTTCCAGGCCTGAATGCCAACATCTCCTGCATCCTCTCTGGGCTCCGGGCCCTGTCGCGCCACCCAGAGTGCTGCTTCCGCGTGCTCCGCGTGAGCGACATGTTCTCCCACATGCCGTGCATGGAGCTGGTCCGCTGCATCCTGAGCGCCCTTCCCCAGCTCCACACGCTCTCGGTCAGCTTCGACCTCAAAAACCAGCTGGAGGGCAGCAGGCCAGAGGCCAGTCCAAGCTGCAGCGAGGCAGAAATCCCAGGTAGGAATCATCATTCTGAGTGATGGCCAGGACTTGGCAGGCAGGTAGAGCTGTAAAGGCTTGGTACAGGCTTCACTCAACACTGTCAGGGTGGTTTGTTGTTAGGCAATTACAGCCTTACCTTTCTGATTTAGTAGTTGTTGCAGTTTGTCCTTTCCAGTCTAAGGTGTTCTGTGGAGCTGGAATCTTCGAGAAAATGTTTTATTGCTGTATCCCAGCATGCTGCAATATCAGCTTTGTGCAGGGCCAGTCACAACCCGCTACCTGTGACTGTCCATGGGCATCCTGTCCCACCAGATCTGTAAATTGACTGGGAGCTTCCTCTTTGTCTATTCCATTGACTGTTAGGCTGTAAGCCTCATACCCTTAAGCAGAGGGCAAGCATCCTTTGATCATCACAATACCACAGGAGAAAGCACTGCCCAAGCCTTTGGATTACAGCCTGAGAGCTACCGCAGTGGGTGCTCAGCTCACAGGTCTCCCATCACTCTTCTTAGCCCTTGAATTGCCAGAAAAGCAGTGAGCAAAGCCTGAGTGAGTTTGGAGTGGGGTCAGGAAAGACCTGTGCTCTGGGAAGACACTGACTGGCTTGTGCCTTAAAGGGTGACCTTTTCTCAAGCATTGGTGAGCACAGTAGAAATTGGTGGCCCTGTGATCTGGCAGGAATCCTGGAGTGCGCTGTAAGCCATTGATGTACCCCAGGTCTGAGCTGCCAGAGCTCCTCAGGGCAGGGCATGGTGCATAGGCAGTTTCTACCAGCCTAAAGGATGGTGGTGTTGGGCATACAGGCTTCCTGCTTGCTGTAGCTACTCTGAAGACTCCAGAGCAAACTCTTTCATTGTTTTTCTTCCCTTAGAAAGCTGCCTGGAGGTGCTGGAGATCCGATTCCCCAGGGAACCTCTGCACACTGCGTTCCTGCTGCCGGTGCTCAAGGCGTCCAAGTCCCTCCAGCAGCTGTCCCTTGACAGTGCCACACTGCCCTGCCCCCAGGAGCTCGGGCTCCTTTTGGAGGTGCTCAAAGGTACTCTGCTAACTGATAGGCAGCATCACTGGGGCACACACTGTAGCTTCCATGCTGTGGCCTTCCATCCTCTAGCATGAAGCCAGTTTGGGTGGGTCCCTCTCTTCAGCATGGACATCCTTGAAGTCTCCCAAGAAAAGGAAACAGGTGTCAGCCATCCCCCGTGCTGTGTTATGTGGATGATCCTGCACAGCACAATGGTTCCTTTTTAATTATCCACAATCCAGCATAGTCTAAGTCAGTTTCTGTTGGTTAGCTGGTAACTGGGTCAGAGTCTTTTTATCCCAAGGATATGCAGTGCTTTACCTGAGAACTTGTTTTGCTTTTAGAGTGTACTCCAAATTTGAAGAAACTGAGCTTTCATGATGTGAACCTGGCTGAGCACCAGAAAGAAGTTCTGCTTCTGCTTCAGGATCCTGGCCTACAAGGTACAGCCAGCTCCTGGGTGCTATTGCTTGGAAAGGTGCTGCGGGTGGCTGCTTTTGGCTGGTTGGCATTTAAGAGGGGATCTTTGGATGTGTAAGATTTAGCCAATGTCACAGACATTTGGAGCAGATCTGCAGGTGTTGTCAGAGTGGGAACGTGCTTGTCTTTGTGCCAGTGGAGCAGAGGAGCTGCTGGCAAATCCTGCAGGGAAGTGTCTGCAGTCTCAGCTATAAAATATTTTTAACCTGCAGAGCACATCAGCCTTTAACTGGGTGAGCTGGCAGAGCCACTTGCCTGGGTGTGATCTGGCTCTCCTCCTGACACAGCAGAAGTGCTGTTGTATGCAATCCACTGCTGGGGGAGCTTTGTTCTTGCCTGTGGATTAGGGGCTGGAGCTGTCTGCAGAATGCAGTTATGGAATACTGAAGCACAGGGAATACTCATACATACTGTAAATCCATTTCTTCATAGAAATCACCTTCTCCTTCTGCCGGCTGTTTGAAAGCTCTACTGCTGAGTTTTTGTCAGAAATAATCAATGCAGTGAAAAGAAATTCATCACTCAAGAGCCTCAAGCTGCCCGGGAACCGCCTTGGTGCGTACGCTGTGCGTGGCAGAGGGGCCTTGGAGCAGCTCTCTGGAGGGAGCTCTGGGGCTGGAGTCAGCACCACTGAGAGCTGCTGACTGCAGTGCTGAACTTACCCTGGGCAGGAACAGTGGGATTTAGTTCACAAAATAAGGAGCACTGGATCCATTTTAGAAGGCAGAATTTCAGTTGCATTCAGCAGTGTACCAAGGTACTGTGCAGGAATTATGGCTGCTTTTCTCTGCAGCAAATGCAAGTTCCAGCAGATCTCCAGATTTGACTGAACACTGGTCTGCTTCAGACTTCAGCAGGAACAGATCCAGCATCAGATGTACTGCCTCTGATTCAGAGGCACAGATTTTGCCCAAGTTTGGGCAGTTTGTGTCTCAAGAGCTGTTGGCAGCCACTGGAGGGATGAGAACAAGTAAAGAAGGATTTGTGTCAAAGAAGTGAAGAAGAATTTACAGAAGTGATAGGCTTTTTAAATCACAGGCCAAGTAGAAATGTTTTAGAAATTAATTGCAGATAAACCCAGAGTACTGTTTTCTGTTATTTTAACAAAGTAAAACAGGAAAGCTTGGGATAATCTGAATACATGTAATTTCTAAAACAAAGCTGCATCTGGACTTCACAAACAAAAGCATGATTTCTCTAGGGACACAAAATACCCTATCAGCAAATGTTTTCATTGCCTTGAACATTGTGCTCAGGGGGATGAACTCAGTTGATGTCACTGAGGGGGACACACTGAGGGTCCAGAGGTGGGCTCTTTGTGTTGCACTCACATGCTTACAGACTCCTTTTCTGCACTATTATCCCAGCCCTATGGCAATTTAAATTTTAAGACCATTTCTGATTTGCATCTAATAGTGCATTTCTCCCTTTCAGGGAATCACAGGCTGGTTGCCCTTGCAGATATTTTCTCTGAAGATTCCTCCTCTTCTCTCTGCCAGCTAGATGTCAGGTATTCTGCTGCTCTAAACATGGAATTCCTTGTTTTGGGAGGGAGAGAGCTGAACTGGGCTCTGACAGCAGGAGAACCTAAGCATGGCTTTGTTCCTTGAGGGAATGTGTGCCCAAGAAAAGCTCAGAGAATGCTGCAATGTGCACGTACACCCTCAGAGACCTCCAGGATCTTGGAGACATTTCACCTTTAGAAGGAATCAAGCTCCATCTTTAAAGCAGCTTTGGTTTGCAGCAGCAGGATTGAAGCCTGATTTTTACCGTGCCCCTAACAAGATTTAAATCCAGCATGCAACTTGATATTTATTTACACAACTCTATATGGGAATTGACCTTTTAATCTCCTAGAAATAACAGGATCTGACACATGCCCTTCAGATTTTCAGAGATAAATGATCACTTACTGCTGAGTCTTGCACTGGGACGTGTAGGTTGGGCCAGGTCCCTTGGTCCAGAGTCGACAGCTGCCACATTTTAAGGCCACAGCTAGGTCTACTTAAGTCAGTAGCAAGAGGTCTGGATAATGAGTTTAACTTGGTAGCTGTTACCAGCTTGGTTTAAAAAGATTTCCAGCCCTTCATACTCAGTTTTGGTTTTCATGAGAAAGGCTTAGATTTTGTACTGCTGAAAAAAGGTGCACCTGGCCTTGAAACATCCTCAGGTACCTGCACTGGCAGTTACTAGAAGGAACAGTAATTTAAATTGCTTGAATCATAGCCTCAACTCTTAATGTTTATTTTTTTCTTTTTCTTCTTTCACTGGAAAGCTCAAATTGCATCAAACCTGATGGGCTCCTGGAGTTCACAAAGAAGCTGGAAGGCCACATCCAGCAGAGAGGGGGACAGCTTCCATTCACACACCTCCGCCTCTTCCAGAACTGGCTGGACCAGGATGCAGCGACAGCGCAGGAGGCGCTGCGGCGTCTCAAAGCCCTGTGCAGTGTAGTCAACGACACGTGGGACTCCTCTCAGGCCTTTGCTGACTACATCAGTGTCATGTGAGGGGCACAGGAGCAGGAGGAAACCCATCACCTTCTCATTGCACAGCACAGGTGGGGACTTCTTCCCAGTTCAAGCAGTATGGAGTTTTTCTTTTCACTCTGCTGTTCATCTGAAGAAGGAGTGTGACACTGCCATGACACACCAGACCATGTGGGCCAACAGCTGTATTTCCAGGTGATCTAACTCTGCCATCTTTTTGAATGTTATAAATGGGACATACACCAAATGAGCTTCTGAACAAACAGCTGTTTACATCACTAGGTGTTGTGGCAAATTTCATGTTGTTTCAGCTAATGTCTCACCAAGAACCATCTCCAGTGTGGGAGAGACTCAAAAGCCATCGGGTTGTGGTCCTTGGCAACCAGCTCTAGGTGATTTTGTTTTTGAGGAGAGGTATTGGACAGTATCACCTGACATCCCTTCCAACTTCTTCATTCTGTGGTCTGTGAAGTAAGAACTCCTCCCTCCACTAAAGGGAGTAGAAAACAAGCTAATGATGCCCCCAGGCTTGACCTTTTTCCATTTGGAAAATTGTACTTTACACCAAAAAAATCTTTATGTACCAAGTAGCTTGCTGTTTATTTGCAATCACACTGCCCTTTTCCACTGTCTGCAGTCATTTTACAGAGGTTTTGAATAATTTGTTATTTTGTAACTTTTATAATAAAATTATAATTAAGACCCATAATGTACCAAAGTGAATTTATTACTGTCATGTAATGTGATCTCATTAAAACACTGCTAGATCAGGGGATCCTGCCCATAACAAAGCAAGTGGTTTTAGAAATGGAGTTACTGGAATAGAGCCTGATTTCCTACTGCTTGCATGATCTTCCAGGCCAGATGTTCAACATATGAGCTAAAATTTTTTTCCCCTGTACAAAATCCTCTTGTTCCCAAGTAATCAGCAAGGTTCACATTTCACAGCAAAAATGGATCCTGCAAGTTTTGATCAGCAACTGTAAGCCAGAGCTGTCAAAGAAAAAAACCTGACTGCACATCAAGTGCTATAAAACTCCTGGCTCAACTTAAACCTGAAGACAAAATCTGGCTGAGTAGAAGGCACAAACATCAAAGGCAGGAGAACCAGTGCTAAATCTGATCAAGCATGCAAGGTCCCATTATTCCCAGTTCCCAAGGGGCTGTTTTTCAGGCACACAATAAATACAACAGCAAAGAAAAAGCCACAGACTCCTTGCAGCAGACTGAACACTGCCAAGGGCCTTGCAGCCACTCCAGAGCCACGCTGTTCTGCTATCCCACAGCCACACACCAGTCCAGCACGCACAGCTGCCCACCGCCCCTTTCCTTGGAAAGGATCAAAGTGCGGCAGGCGCCACAGAGCCTGCCCTTGCCCCCACAGGGGACAGTAACCTGTCAGGGAATCCCTCGCTGCTCCTCATGGGAGTGATGATGGAAAGTGAAGGTGACAGCAGCGTCCCATGCCGCCTTCAGCACAGAGTCCTGCAGCCCGCGCTTGTCCGCGCAGTGGTGCCACTGGGACAGGTCCGAGGTGCAGTCGGAGCCGTCGGGAGGGGGCCGCACCTGGTGCCCGTTCACACAGCGGCGACACTTGATCCTGCCAAGGTCAGTGCAAGATCAGTGCAAGGCTCCTCTGCTGGGCCTGCCTATGGGCTGCTCAAAACTGCAGCCCAGCAACATCTGGATTAACTCCCCTGGATTTTCAGTTTCTGAATTACTGGTGCATTTCATTTAAACAGATAACTACCTTCTGGTGTGTGTGTGACAGGTAAGGAGTGACTCACACATTTTGAAAACCTGGGGGTTCTGTTTCCAATGGCAGTCCCTCTTCATGTTTAACCATTTGGGAACGGTCCAGCAAGACCCAGAGGAAGTTCAGGAGGAGTTTCTCTTGAAAGGTGTGGGATGTTGCTTAAGGCAGATCTCAAGTGACTGCTGCTAACACCTTATTAGTATTGCATCAGGACTCCTAAATTCAAAGAGCACACCATGCTCCAAAACACTCCATCCTGGCACCCACCACAGCCACCAGGTTGTGCTCAGGCTATTTTGGAGATGCCCCACTGAGCTGTCACTTAAGGAGACAAAGAGCAGCAGCAGCAGCCAGGTCAGCAAGGGCTGTTACCATGCAGAATGGATACCTACACTGAGCTAAGCCTTGACACAGCTTAAAACTAATCCTCTTCACTTCTTGCCTGAATTAAGAGTCTTAATTTTCACAGTGAAGCATTTCCCCTGCACTCCTTGTCCTCTTTCTGGTGGCTATAATACCACAGGTCTCTGGGCTGGGAGAGGAGGGCAGACAATGGAGAAGAGTACTCTTTTAGTTGCCAGAACAGAACTTAACACTGGCTTCATGAATCCTTAGCCCATGGAGAAGCCCTAGATGGAAGCAGTTCAGCATTTGTTCACCAGTAAGAGCAGTAAGGAAGGACCAAGTTAGGCTCCACCAATTTGAACAACTCTGATCAATTTTTCTCTTTTCATTAGCTGCAGTATTTCAGTCTCCAAAACAGGCAGCTACAAGGTAGTCTGCTCACTTGTCCAGCCAGCACAGCTTTTCTAAATAACAAAAAGGGAGGACAGCAAGGAAGTGCTCATGTCTAGGTGGTTAACAGCTTCAGAAGCAGAAACACTTGAAGCTCACTCTCTGGACTTCCTCCTGCTGCCTGGGAGACCCCTGAATTACACAACCAAACTTTTGCTATCCCAGCCATGAGTTATTCAGAATACTCACTTGTCATGGGTGTCACTGGTGGTGGTCTCATTCAATGTGAAGAGCTCCTTCAGCTCCCCTAGGGAGAAATGCCTTTCCACATCCTGCTCTTCATCCACCACGCAGCTGCTCAGGGCTTTCTTGTGGGTCTGGCGCTGGAATATCTTCTCCTCTATGGTCCCTGTCTACAGGCAAGTCAGAGATGAAGCACAGTTGGAACACTGGTGTTAAAGGAGCTCTGCATGGGGAAAATGCCACAGACCAAATGGCACTAAGCTGTCAGGACCACTCAGTGCCTCACCAGTACAGGTGACAGGCAAGTTTTAGTAGCTGCACTCCAACCACATGTTTTGTTGCAGATCTAACCCAACTCTGCTTCTCTTTCCCCGTGGCTGCAGGAGTGGATCCAGTGGAGATACAGATGAGGAAGAGGGAGAACTGCCATTCATGGCTAAAGCTCACACACTGCACCAGCATGTGCTGACATGAAGGAAAAGGAGCTGAGCAGCTACAGCTGCTCCCTGACAAAAAATCCCAACTACAATCTCCCCAAGAAGCAGCAATGAGGTCTAGCCCTGGGTGACACGAGCATCAGCACTATTTTCTGGTTCACCCACTCACAGATCAATCACATCCTGCCTGGAGGGAGAGATCTGCTTCCAGAACAGATGTGCAGAAAGATTTTTGCCTTAGAAATACAGCATGCTGGGCTAAGAGCAAAATATCTGTTTTGCAAACAAATACAACACCAAGGAGGGGGCTAATTAGTCATGATTTGCAGACTGATTTCCTATTTCTAAAAGCAAAGGAGCTCCCTGCTTCCAAGTGCAGCAAGGTCAGAAAAGAACTCCATTAAGAAAAGATGGGCAAAGAATGTCTGTTTTCTCAAAGTAAAAATAGTAATTGACCAAGGAACCTAAGCTTACACAAAAAAATCCCCAAACCAAAACAAAAAAACCCTACAGTCTGAACTAATGAGAGGTGAACAAGGGCAGAGGAGACACTTCAAAGCAGCAATCACTACTGGCACTGCTGGACAGTGTTAGAGTAGCCTGAAGAGAGCAGTCTCCTTCATGGTTTTCCTCTACAGAGCAGCTACCCCATCTACTCACTGGCAGCTCCATCCCAAATGCTGCTGGTAATTCCAGGAACATATTTGCTGTTTCTAAAGTGCACGTACACCCAACTAAAACAGACTGCAGCCTGACAGAAAAACAGCAACTTCTGCATCAGACACCCCATGAAATTAAAGAAGTCAGATGCCTAAATTACTTCAAAGGAACATCTTATCTGCAAAGCCACAGTTGTTTCTATTTCTCAGAAGCCAGTCACTGCTAGAAACCAAGGGCTGCAGTAATGACCCTCCAGCTAGAACCTTCATGGTTTTCCATGGCAACACATCTAAGGGTAGGAAGCAATTAAGTTCCAATCAATTCTGGTCACCAACACAGAAGAGTTCTTTCCCTTCTGGCCCCAGTCACAGCAGCTGCAGTCTGGGCTGGCACCCAGAGCTCCATGCTGAGGAGGGCAGAGCAGTTTTCCTCACCGAGAGCAGTCGGTAGATGTAGCACATCTTCTTCTGGCCGTCGCGCCACACGCGAGCCATGGCCTGCTCGTCGTTGGCCGGGTTCCAGTCGGGGTCGAACATCACCAGCCTGTTGGCCCCGATCAGGTTCAGACCACAGCCACCTGCTTTGCTGCTTAACATGAAGATGAACTCCGGGCTCTGGAAAAAGGCAGGCTTGGATTAGACTGCAGAAGCAGCCATGCTTTTACTCCCAGCACTCAGAGCTGGCAGGAGAGCTGCTCACATCTGGCAGGTTCTACTCACCGAGGGGCTGTTGAACCGCTCCACGATCTTCGCTCTCTTTTTAATGGACATGGTGCCATCCAGCCGCACATACAGATACCTGGAACATACAGCATTTGCTACAACCAGACTGCTGCCATCTTCAGAGCATCCTACTTGAAAGAGAAAAATCTGCCACCATCAGCCTTGTAACAACAGAATGGGCTTTAGAAATGTTAGCAGAGGGCCACAGATTTTCTGCTGAGTGACCCCAGGAGACAAAGCACAAGCTACATTGGTTTCAATTCAGGAACACCTGAGCTAAAAGACAGATCACAAGTTCCTGCTGAGAGGAAGCGTAGGAATAGCCAGTTCTTTTACACCATAGGCAACAAGTACAGTCTAGCAGGATTAAAGCAGTAAAACCCAAAGACAAACCTCCTGCTCCGGCAGAGTTTTTCAAATAGATCCAGGGTCTGAGTGTAGTTAGACACTAAAACCACCTTGTCATTAC